AAACAAGTGGGTAGGACATAGGACTTAATTTTATTTCACACAATGCCGAGGTAGCTAGCACTCGCAACTACATAAAAATCGCCACTAGCAACTGCTATTTTTAGCGCTAGCAACTGCCATTTTCGAGCGCTCGCAACTGCCACTTTCGAGCGCTCGCAACTGACACTTTCGAGCGCTCGCAACTGACACTTTCGAGCGCTCGCAACTGCCACTTTCGAGCGCTCGCAACTGACACATTTTGCTACTTGCTACTCGCAACTCACCACTCGCAACTGGCGTATTTATGCACCCTTACATACCTCCTATATATATATCTCTTGAATCTCACTAACTCTACAAGATTAGAATCACTGTTCATTACCATCATGTCTATATCACTGTTGATTCTCACTAACTCTACAAGATTAGAATCACTGTTCATTACCATCATGTCTATATCACTCTTGAATCTCACTAACTCTACAAGATTAGAATTAATTGTCATTACATCATGTCTATATATCAATGTTGAATCTCACTAACTCTACAAGATTAGAATCACTGTTCATTACCATCATGTCTTTATCATTGTTGAATCTCACTAACTCTACAGGATTAGAATCACTGTTCATTACCATCATGTCTATATCTCTCTTGAATCTCACTAACTCTACAAGATTAGAATCACTGTTCATTACCATCATGTCTATATCACTGTTGATTCTCACTGACTCTACAAGATTAGAATTAATTGTCATTACATCATGTCTATATATATATCTCTTGAATCTCACTAACTCTACAAGATTAGAATCACTGTTCATTACCATCATGTCTATATCACTGTTGATTCTCACTAACTCTACAAGATTAGAATCACTGTTCATTACCATCATGTCTATATCACTCTTGAATCTCACTAACTCTACAAGATTAGAATTAATTGTCATTACATCATGTCTATATATCAATGTTGAATCTCACTAACTCTACAAGATTAGAATCACTGTTCATTACCATCATGTCTTTATCATTGTTGAATCTCACTAACTCTACAGGATTAGAATCACTGTTCATTACCATCATGTC